GGCGTTCTTTGAGCCTAGACCCTCTAGTAAACCAAGTAAACTTCGGGCCAAGGAACCCCAAATCCATTAGTTCATTATCATCCAAGCATTTGTTGAATGCTCTGACCTTAGCAAAATTGAAGGGGGCACCACCCACTTTCTCCGTTGATTTTGAAATAGAGTTGAAGTCTCCAATCAAAACCCAGGGGATTGTGGTTCCTCTTCTGATTCTTCCAATTTCCTCCCAAAGAGCACCACGACTATGCTCGTTTGGGCTGGCATACACTGCAGTGATCTGACAAACCAGCTTACTATCCATTGAGCACTTCAGGTTGATGAACTGCCTGTGGCAATCCACTTGTTGAAGATCCAAAACATCCTTATTCCAAAGAATCCAGATTCCTCCGCTAAACCCAATGGCATCCGAGACCTTCCATGAATCAAACCCAAGGGACTTGATCACTTTCTCAGCTTCATCACCACTGACTCTAGGTTCCAAAATGCAAACAATATTTGGTGCATAAGAATTGTGTAAGCATACCACTTTCAAGTTGAATAAGTGATAACTGATAAGTCATGAATAATTTTTTTAGTACAATGCATCGATATAGAGAGTGATATAACTAAAATCACCAAAGCATTTTAAAGGGAGTAGAACTACTAAATAACTGAAATATAATGTTATAAAGATGATAAGAAATGAATAACATTGAACTAACTCATCCAACGAATAGAACTAACCAAACTTCTCTAGACTACAAAAATGAATGACAAAGTAAATAGAAATGTCTGCATATGGAGACGTAGATGACAGTGGTAATTTTGATTATGTGCAGGTGCAAGGTTGGGCTTGTGCGGCTTGAGGGAAGGAAGGATTCCTACAACGGTCTCTTAAGTTTATTATTTTGAAGTGTTAGAAGACACATGCTTTCAATAGTCTGTGTATGAACTGTTTTGTGTTTGTCAGTACCTTTAAAGTAATGGGTGAGTCCAGTTATGCTCTGTTCTATCTTGGTGCCAAGCTTTAGCCTTGGACTAAGAACTATTTTGGGAGAGAATGTATGCGTCAAGTCGTGTATTGGTCCAAGGATTTTGCAAATGTAATGTTGTTATGCTTTTCCCCTGATTCTCAGAGTCTCAAATCGGCCACACCATAGCTTCCAGCTCCGGCCGATTTAGCTAACAGGGAAATCCTTGACTGCCTAAACATTCGTTGCTCCTCAGGCTTTGTTAGTATCTACTAACAAAAATGCCTGTTAGCAGGATAGCTAAATTGCCTCCAAACGAACAAATCTCAATGAAAGAAGAAAAAAAATATATAGAATGTGAAGAACTCAAATCAAAGAGAGCTCCGCTAGGATCCAAGACAGAGATTAGAGAAACCATTGAAAGAGTAAAGAAGCGAGAGAAAAAGGTTTATATGGAAACTAAAAGGGGAAGATTGTTTAGTTTTTCTCTCACTCAATTAATTTTAACCTACTCTCTACCCATCAGCTACCAAGTGGAACGCCATGACTAAACTCGACATAGAACATTGTGCATGTCATTGCAGGTAAAAGTAAGCAGAGAACATGTGGTAGAATAGAAAAAAGAGCAGCTATCACTTCAACCATCTCCCCAAACCTCCATCGTAAACCAGAACGACGGCTAAAAAGACTTTTAACTTTTTTCATTTCTTCTTACTTCCTTCTCTCTCCCAGTCACAGAGCTTTCTGAAAAGCAAGTATCATTTTTTCTCTCAGTCCCAGAGTTCTCTGAAAAGCAAGCATCACCTCAAATTGGAAAAAGAAGTCTCAGCACGTCACTTCAGCAAGGAAAATGAAAGAATTCTCCATAGCAAAACCACTAACTTTGATCCTCCTCTCAGAAGGATCGACAATGGGTGGATAAGGATTTGAAACCAGAGCAAGTACCAATTCAAAGGACTAAGAAAACGTTCTTCAACATGGAAACCCACCTAATTATACTATCATAGTATTTTGATGTTGAAGCAACCGATAGACATAGTGAAAGGACGTAACAAGATCATTTTCATCTTCTCCATGCAAGCAGGTTCTTAAAGAAACCTATATACTCAAACTAACTTTGGTGGATGAAAGGCTCTCGCTATCTACGAGAAAGGGTAACTAGCAAACTCCCCCAACTACTTACTATACAAGATCTTGATTCTTTCTACTGTGTATGCTACAGTAAGGGAAGCAAAAGCTAATGAACGAAAACATAATTGGAAAAAAGGAAGAAAAAGATACTTATAGCAGATCTTCCCTCCACAATCAAGAACCCTTAACAGGCCCACATTTCAGCCCACGAACCTGAATTACTGCATACGAGTGCTACAGAAACAAAGAGTGACGTTAGGATTGTTGAGGGGATCTTCTTGGGGATAACTAAAAAAAAGTTTGTGACGTTTGAATTTTGGAGCACAAAGTTATGACCGTTCAAAGTTCGGTGAAATCAAAAAGCCGCTCGTTCGGGATAGCAAACGAATTTTTTTTTTGGACGAAGGCGGGACCAATGGCTTGTAAGATCTCGAAAAGTTATGCGGAATAATTTTTTTTTTGCTACGTTCGGATACCCAAACGCAAAGTTACGTTCGTTTGAAGTTTCGACATATGTTAGGAGTTGATCAGGAAAAAAAAGTTCATGAAAACCGCTGGGTGGGAGGCGATTTTCACCTTAACCGCGCCTTCCCCCTCGGTTTATCAAAACACCCCAACACCTAATAATTGTGGAAAACATATTAATTCCATGTTGTTAATGTAATTATCTCATGATATGTTTGAAACATATAATACTTGTTTTAAAGTCAATTGACTATGGAATGGCTATCATTTATTTCCATTTAAGAGTTTTTGTATGGGCTAAACAAGAAAATAAAGAACATATGAATGCACAAGCACAAAGTTGGGTGCACACTGCACAGACAAGAGGGAAAGGAAAGGAGCAGCAGCGGAAACAAAGTCCTGAACCGGCCTTTATGTTTGCTAATGTAATTTGGAAGGACTGCTAGTGATGGCAGTGGGTCGGGACGGGGTGGTACCTCAATACCTATGCTCCGCTCTGCACTAGTACGGATCGGGGAGGGTAATACCCGTGCGGGTATGGGACAGGACGCGTCGACCCACTCTTATATGCTATTTGAGAAAAATACATGTGAAATTTTACTTTTTTATGATAAAACGAAAGGGAAAAAACTTTATAAATGAATAATAGTGATAATATAATGGGCAATTGAGTCTATTTAGTTGAAAGATCAAGTCTAACTAGTTGAATAAAAGCAAAAATAGGAGATATATGAATGGATGAGGTAAGAAATTGACCTAGAACGGGCCAAGAATGGGGCGGGGCAGGGCAGGGCGGGTCGTAAATAAATACCCATGTCCCGCCGGGGCGGGTATTGCGGGTTAGGTCGGGTAATACCCGGCAGGGCGGGTTCAAATTGTCATCCCTAAGGACGGCCCTTTTCTTTACTGGGCCTGGACGAAACGGGATAGATGAGTGCTTTGAGCATTATTGACGATTTTATTGGATCGAGTTTGTTGTCGTTTTATGAGGAGGACAAGGCTAGCGGAACGGTAGCGTAAAAGGGATGGGGAGGAGGATTTACTTTTTGGATGGCTAAACGTCGTCCTAATTATACTATTATCGTCCTTAAATAAAAAATAAAATTACGAAATTGTCCTTTATTTAATCTTCTTTATCATTTATTTAATCAATTCAAATTCAACGAGCAATCCTACAATTGCTAATCCTCCATCGCCGCTGGCCTCCGCCTCTTCAAAATCCCTTCATCGGCGTCCTTCTCCAACTGCAGTCGCCGACGTTCCTCCTCCCTAGTCGTCCTTCTCCAAAAAAACATGGGTGAATAATGAGGATGACGAGAAAGGTATTTATTGGGTGAATGAGGGCTGATGAATCGATTAGGATGTATATAATGGTGGTGGTATATATTCATAGCTCAGATTGTTCTGGTATTAATTGGGTGGGATGAAGGATGATGAATCGGGTGGTGAGAATGCAAAGGGGGATTGAGTGATTGTCCTTCGTTAAATTCCTTACTTCCTTCCGTTCTTTCACATCCCGATCGATTCGAGACCGCCGGAGCCATCGCCGGACGCCTCAAACGTTTTGCCCATATGGTAATTAAGCGATAATTAGCAATCCCCGAGTAAAAGCTAGTAATAATAAATATTCAATCTCATACAATCATAGTTAAGTTGAGAAAAAGGACGAACCAAATCCGGTAAAGACAGACGGGAAAAATGGATCAGTAACGTAAAAGGCAGAAAACAACAAGCACACAGAAGAACGAGTCTAAAGCTAGTGCCCGCCAAGCCCACACCGCAAGTAGCGAAGGAAGTACGACGGGGTAATCCTGCAGCAGCCAGATCAAGGTCCTCTCAGCTCCGTCAAAAGAATTCTTCACCAGGTCGACCAAGCCGAGCCCGTACTTGTTGCGGATGTGACGATCCAGTTTCCGCCACGCCCATATCGGCGACATCACAACCAATGCTCCGACCGTCAATTCGATTGCATCTGACAGCCGGCGCAAAATCAGTGCCCCGTCGACGGCGTGAGGGTAAGGAGTTGGCATGATCCGGTCGAGAAAGATCATCCACGACGCCAAACATAACACGGATATAACGCCACACTTGAGAGCGTCCATGGCGCAGAGCAGAGTCGAAGGAAAGATTGCTTGCCTGGAGACGGCCCAAGAGGTTTATTTATGGATTGGATTGGATCCAAGTCCAAGTCCTTTCAGGAAGAAGAGACTTCCTTTTTTCCTTGTCCGTCTCTGAGTCAAAAATACCATGGTCGCTGGCTTCTATTGGGCTTCTTTGTTTGGTTTCAGTCCAAAATGTTGGTCCATAAGTCCGGCCCACTAAAATTTCGTGTTCTTCCGCAGCGGAGTCGCCTTCCGCATCCGCATAGGACAATAAAATTTGAATTTTTAAGGTGACGCGATTATTATTATATAAAGCATCGCAGGATACTGTCCGACAAATCTCGAGGGAGTTAGGGTTCTTACTTTGCTGGAAAAAAAATTCTCGCAGGTCACTGTGAATCGATTTCTGCAGCTCGCTCGCCTTTTTTTTTGGGGTAATTTCTAACGATGGATGCAGCTTCCCTCCATCCCAGCTCCGGCGAATATGAACCTGGATACGTTCCCACTCCTCGCCGTGGTTCATCCTCCGACGAATCTCAGTTTGGGCCCGAATTGAAGAGGCAGAAGGTCGAGGAATCCGACCACTCTGAGGACGCCATGAGAAGGAGCGGTAGTAGCAGCGACATTGAGATTGCGGAAGCAGAAGCAGAAGAAGATGATTGGGACGATAGCAGTGATGATGATGATGATGATGGTCGTTTTGACTTTGCTTCGTGCTTCGATTTCTACGCTCGAATTCTCGACACTGAGGTGAGAATCATGACTATTCATAGAGGGGTTTTCTCTGTTTCATTGTTTGTTCTGCATTACTACGCAGTGGCGAACCCAGGAATTACATTAAGGGTATTCAACGACGAAATCAAACCATCAAGGATTGTCAAATAGCACTGAGTTTAAATACTATCATCACTAAAACAATAATCTACAAAGGATTTTTGTCTCAAAATTGAAACAAGGTTTGTCAATTGACAAGCCTAGGCCTAACCTAGGTCCGTCCCTGATATAGGGGCTTCTACTTAGAATCACGCTTTTGACGGTACTTGTTCGATTGTGTTTTACAGGGTGCCGAGAGTCGTTTCCCGGGCCACGCGTTTCGCCACATTCGCCTCGACGACCCCAATGAAGAGGCTGAGCACTTGAAGAATGTGAAGAGATCTGCTAGGTTTGTGATCTATGAACAGTACAGAATGGGCAATAAGGTAGTGTCTGTCAGGCTCTTTTCCCCCCTTTCCCGACTCCCCCCAGTTTCTTGTTTGATAGAAAAATTGAATCTTGGTGTGCCTTTCCACAGATGAAATTGGTTAGGATTGAGAAGGCTTGCTCGTATTCGGTGAATGGGTACAACTACTACATCACGTTCTCTGCCGAGACTTGGCCGACCAGGCAAATCAAGGTGTACCAAGCACAGGTTTACATTAATTTTATGGGGCAGTTGGTAAAGACCACCGTTTTCAGGGAGAAACCCCCTCCCCAGCAGCCTTCAGGCAATACAATTGAGCAGGTATAGTTTGGTTTATGTCGCTGTTTCCCGGGCCACCGTCCTTTGTTCTCTTCCCTTTCTGTGTTTCGTTGCTCCCAGCCATCACTTTTGACTTAAAATATCCTTTGTCATGTCATTTTGATTATGTGCAGGTGCAAGGTTGGGCTTGTGCGGCTTGAGGGAAGGAAGGATTCCTACAAACGGTCTCTTAAGTTTATTATTTTGAAGTGTTAGAAGACACATGCTTTCAATCAGAATCAGGGGCGGACCCAGGGGGTTTAGGGGTGTCCGGGGACACTCCTAAATTTTGGGAAAACGATTATCCAACCCCCGGTGGTAATTTACGTATGGACAAAAAAAAAATATAATTGATAGTGAGGGACACCCCTTAAATTTGAAAAAATGATTATCCTATTGTCATTTTTGTGTATAGGAATATAAGTGGTATGTTGGATAATTCAAATCTAGAACACTATTATTATTAATAAACTTAATTTCCGTTGAGCTAAACTCATTTGTTGTTTGATTTTGAACAATGTGTAATAGTAAAATGACATTCCCTATCTCTAATTATTTTAAAAACCTAACAATTAAACTAATTTCAAACTACCCTTAATTTGTATTGATTTTAGGATTTTACGGCAAGTGTTGAAAGAGTCTTTCAGCTTTGGGTTACATTAAGAACAAATTTACAAATTGAATATGCGATAAGTTCGTGAATGATTGTCTAGTAGTGTATATAGAGACAATTTTTTTTTAATACTATAGAACCAAGTGTATTCTACAATTATTTTCGAATATGAAAACACATCATGGACTTTTTTAACTTGTACGAGTAAGGTATTTTCATATTTACAATTTTATTTTTATTAATTATTTTTATTTAATTTATTTTTTAAAAGAGGACACCCCTATGAAAATTTTCTGGGTCTGCCACTACTTTCAATAGTCTGTGTATGAACTGTTTTGTGTTTGTCAGTACCTTTAAAGTAATGGGTGAGTCCAGTTATGCTCTGTTCTATCTTGGTGCCAAGCTTTAGCCTTGGACTAAGAACTATTTTGGGAGAGAATGTATGCGTAAGTCGTGTATTGGTTCCAAGGATTTTGCAAATGTAATGTTGTTATGCTTTCCCTGATTCTCAGAGTCTCAAGCAGTGCTCCATGTTAGTGCGAATCTTGAGTATTAAGGTACCTATACGGTCTCGTAGTCCATCATCATTCTTAGTAGGGGTGAACAAAGCAACACTTAAACCGACCCACCCAACCAACCCAATTTGACCACCCGAAAATAGGTAATGAACACAAATTTGCAGGTGGGTGATGGTTTGATTTTGGGTAAATTAATTTCAGATGGGTGGGTTCGGGTTCGGGTTGGTCCACCCCGCAAAGCCAACCCAACCCATCATTTAATAGTCATGCGTGTAAACTGTAATGTAGATATAAAATGAATTTTTTCTTTCCAATTATATGAGGATCCTGAGAGGATAGTGCGAATAGTTGCCTTATTATGGAGGATCTGGAAGTCTAGGAATTGAGTGGTGTTTGATCATATTCAGTATACTACGAAATCCCTTGTGCGTCAATACCATAATCAGGTAAGGGAGTGGTTGGCGGCTTGGCACTGCCGGCTCAAGGAGTTGGGGGACAGGCGCCTGGTGCGGGTCAGTCGGAAGGGATGTCGCCTACTACGCCATTTGTCTGTTTTGTTGATGGGGCGGTTAGCGCGGGATCGCATGCTGCAGGTGGAATGGTGGTACAGGATCAAGGGGGTTCTACCCTGTTTGTGCAAGTTTGCAGGATCCCTTTTTGGCTGAGTTGATGGCGTTCTGGGATGCGATTCGGTGGTGTTCTTTGAAGGGCCTGTCGAAGATTGCTTTCCTCGGGGACTCGCAAATGGTGGTTTGTAAGATAAAGGGGCATGTGACTCGGGATGGTCGCGGAGGAGCAATTCTTGAAGAGATTTCGCATTTCCGGCAATTTTTTTGCGGAGTTTGATGTCGGCTATCGGCGCAGGCAAAACAATCGAGTGGCTCATGTTGTAGCCAAAAAGGCTCTCTTTGTTTCCTGTTGGTGTGGTCGGGTTTGATTTTAGGTCGTGGTTTTTATGTGGATTATAAACAGAGGTATATATATTTCTTGGTAATACAAGCGAGCTTTTGGGGGGGGGGGGGGGGAAATTCTACGATAACTTTTATATTTGGTTTCCAAAAAGTATAATTTTCTTTCATTTATCTAAAATTAAATAGAAAATAATTTGTTATAATATAAAAATATCCATGTTACTTTATTTATACTTTATATTTTATATCCAAAATATTATTTATTATTTTACAATAGTTCTATATTGTAAAATAACATGGTAGAATAACATGATTTCGTTGGTGTGCATCAAGTTATCTACAGATACCTATAAGTCAATGTCAAAAAATAGATGTTGCCACATCAGCCACCGTTGCTCATATCATATATTTCGGAGGGGTTAATATTGAATTAAGATCAATATTAAATTAATCAAGAGAGAAAATGTTCTTTACCTCTTCTTTTCCTTATTGTCTGAGTTCTCAGAAGAAAAAAAAATGGAGATTTACAAAGAATGAAAGACAGTATCTCAACCTTTTACCATGAATGCAGTAAACAATCCAGTTCACAGATAAAGTGGAACTAGTAATAATAAATATTCAATCTCATACAATCATAGTTAAGTTGACTAAAGACAGGAAAATGGGATCAATAACGTAAAAGGAAGAAAACAACAAGCACACAGAAGAAGGAGTCTAAAGCCAGTGCCCGCCAAGCCCACACCGCAAGTAGCGAAGGAAGTACGATGGGGTAATCCTGCAGCAGCCAGATCAAGGTCCTCTCGGCTCCGTCAAAAGAATTCTTCACCAGGTCGACCAAACCGAGCCCGTACTCGTTGCGGATGTGACGATCCAGTTTCCGCCACGCCCATATCGGCGACATCACAACCAATGCTCCGACCGTCAATTCGATTGCATCTGAAATTTGTGATGGTGCCCCTTTGGAATTTGCCAAAAATTGACCCGGAAGAAATTCGCACAAATCGGTGCTTAATGAACTTAATAATCAATAAAGAATAGGCTCAGGCCGAATCCGTGATTTGTAGCTTTCAAAATCAAAAGAAAATAACATTTCGTCGCCAAAAAAATTACGAAAACGCCATCCGAAAATAAATTGGCCCCATACTGGTGCTTATTGGGCTTATCATCCGTGGAGAATAGGATCAATGGACTTCATTATCGGTGGAGAATAACCTCAGTCTGAATTTATGATTTGTAGCCTCCAGAATCGAAAGAAAATGTCATTTCGAGAAAATAGCCCGAAATTTGTGATGGTACCCATTTGGAATCTTCCAAAATTTACCCAAAAGAAATTCACCCAAATCGCTGCTTAATGGACTTAATCATAGTTGAATAATAGCCTCAGACCGAATCCGTGAACTGTAGCCTTCAAAATCCAATGAAAATGGCCTTTCGTCGACCAAAACATTTCGAAAATGCCATCCGAAAATAAATAAGCCCAAATCGATGCTTAATGCACTTATCATAATGGAGAATGTGATCAATAGACTTCATTATCAGTAAAGAATTTCCTCGGCCTGAATCCATTATATGTAGCATCTAGAATCGAATGAAAATGTCATTTCGAGAAAATTGCTTGTAATCTGTGATAGTACCCCTTTGGAATATGCCAAAAATGGACCTGGAAGAATTTCACCCAAATCAGTGCTTCAGGGACTTAATCATCGTTCAAGAATAGTCTCAGACCGAAACCGTGATTTGTAGCCTTCAAAATCAATAGAAAATGGCCTTTCGTCGACCAAATAATTACGAAAATGTCATCGAAAATAAATTGGCCCAAATTGGTGCTTAATGGACTTATCATCCGTGGAGAATAGGATCAATAGACTTCATTATTGGAGGAGAATAGTCTCGGCCTTAATCAATATTCTTTAGGCTCTAGAATTGAAAGAAAAAGCCATTTTGGGAAAATCGCTAGAAATCTGCGATGGTACACCTTTGAAATCTGCCAAAAATTGACTCGGTCGAAATTCGCAAAAATCAAAGCTTAATGCACTTAATAATATATAAAGAATAGCCGCAGGCCGAATCCGTGATATGTAGCTTTCAAGATCAAAAGAAAATGATCTTTCGTCGCCCAAAAAATTACGAAAATGGCATACGAAAATAAATTAGACAAAATCGGTGCTTAATGGACTTATCATCCGTGGAGAATAGGATCAATAGACTTCATTATAGGTGGAGAATAGCCTCGACCTGAATCCGTAATCTGTAGCCTACAGAATCGAAAGAAAATGCCATTTCGGGAAAATAACCTGAAATCTGTGATGGTACACCCCTTTGGAACTGGCCAAAAATTTAGCCGAAAAAAATTAGCCCAAATCGGTACTTAATGGACTTAATCATAGTTGAATAATAGCCTCTGGCAGAATCCGTGAACTATAGCTTTCAAAATCCAATGAAAATGGCCTTTCGTCGCCCAAAAAATTACGAAAATGTCATCCGGAAATAAATTAGCCCAAATCGGTGCTTAATGCACTTATCATCATGGAGAATAGGATCAATAGACTTCATTATCAGTGGAGAATAACCTCAGCCTGAATCCATTATATGCATCCTCCAGAATCGAACGAAAATGCCATTTCGGGAAATTTGCCCCTAAATCTGTGAGGGTACCCCTTTGGAATCTGCCAAAAATTAACCTACAAGAAATTTGCCCAAAATTGGTAAGGGACTTAATCATCGTTCAAGAATAGTCTCATGCCAAATCGGTGATTTGTAGCCTTTAAAATCCAAAGAAAATGGTCTTTCGTCGACCAAAAAATTACTAAAATAACATCCAAAAAATAAATTGGCCCAAATCGGTGCTTAATAGACTTATCATCCGTGGAGAATAGGATCAATAGACTTCATTATTGAAGGAGAATAGTCTCGACCTGAATCAATATTTTTTATGCTCCAGAATCGAAAGAAAATGTCATTTCGGGAAAATTTCCTGAAATCTATGATGATACACCATTGGAATCTGCCAAAAATTGACTTGGTAGAAATTCGCACAAATAGGTGCTTAATGGAATTAATATTCAATAAAGAATAGCATCAAGCCGAATCCGTGATATGTAGCTTTCAAAATAAAAAGAAAATGGTCTTTTGTCTCCCAAAAAATTACGAAAATGCCATACGGAAATATATTAGCCCAAATCGGTGCTTAAAGGAATTATCATCCGTGGAGAATAGGATTAATAGACTTCATTATCGGAGGAGAATAGCCTCGGCCTGAATAAGTAATCTTTAGGCTCCATAATCGAAAGAAAATGACATTTCGAGAAAATCGCTCGAAATCTGTGATGGTAACCCTTTGGAATCTGCAAAAAATAGACCCGGAAGAATCCGCCTAAATCGGTGTTTGATGGACTTAATCATCGTTGAAGAATAGCATCAGACCGAAACCGTCATCTTTAGCCTTCAAATTCCAAGGGAAATGGACTTTCGAAAAAATTGCCCAAAATATTACGAAAATGTCA